TTGATCCTGAAGAGCCCATGAGGGCTGCTTTTTGGTTGTAGGCTGTTACTCACTTTCAAGGTAAAAAATTGTTCATAAGTTCATAGAGAAATGGGATCTGCTTTGTTTACAGAGGTGTAAACAAACGCGAGATTAGCGAAACTTGTTACTTGTTCATTGTGACTTAAACGTATATTCAACGATTTATGCTATATGTCATTATAGGAGATAGCGCAACTGAACATATCACTATCCTGAGCTAAAATGTTGCGTAAGAGATGCGAGATTTCCTGCTGGAGCCAACTGTTTATTTCTTCAATTCCTGCCAACTGGGCTGATTTTGATTAAAGTCTGAGCTATTTTAGATGAAATATTGAAATTGAGTCTACTTTGAGCTAAACCCCTTTCAATTTCGCCTTTCTTAGTGGCTTCTGAACATTTGCGAAATTTTTATATCGAATACGGATCGATAGCTTTTATTTGACTCTCTTTTGCTAATTATTCGTTGAAATTTCTCTTTATTTGTTTTAGATGTCGGAAAAGGAGCTGAAATTCGATTCAAGCGACCCTCCTGCTTACAACCATGCTAATGTTTACAATGTTGACCTTGAGAAGGGACTTCCTTTGTATACACCAAAAGACATAAACAAAACTTCCAATTCAACTTCTGTCAAAGCCAAACAAAGCAAAAAAACGATAATTACTGAATTTGATAGCTTCAATGATTTCTTTACCGACTTTAGGAAGAAGACAGATCATTATTTCCCTGAAAATGTAGTCGTTAAAAGTAAGTCGATGTTTTTCTTTTTGATATTGGGTTTATCATTCCTTTGTACATTAGCAATCTCCTATCGTTTCGAACTATTTTCTTTTCTGAAACAAGTATATATGGAAAATGGATACAGTTTGGCCCTTCTTGGACCTTTAGGCATTTGGCTTGTGATATGGGCAATATTCTTTGCTCTTTTCTATGGTAAGTGGAGCATTGTTGTTAATAGCAAACGCTATTAGAATGTGTGTGTGTTACTAATAAAGCCTAGCACTTATTTGGCCTTTCATATTGACAATACGGATTGCCGCTAAAGTTATAATCTTTATCGTGGTTGGTCTTGGTGAAGTGCTTGGATGGTTCGTTGGTGCTATCTTTTGGGGAATTTATAACATTACTGTTTTTGGCCTTGGAATGAAATTTGAGAGCTCAGCTGAAAACACCGGTTCGCCTACGCTTCCCAGATATCAACAAAGGGATGATGCACTAGCTCCTCCGCCGACAACTACGAACGAAGAAATAGAGCTGCAAAGCAATCCTACAACTCAAAGTTAATGCTAATTTGTTTACCTTTCTTTTCTCATGAGTCTTAACTCTTCCGATCGAAAGTCACTAAGTGGAAAAAGATAACATTACAAGCAATTTGTTCGGATAAGTATTTATTTATATCCCTTTGCTAAGCGTTCTTGTGTTTAATTTTGACTACGGACTCATCCTTGTACCAACATGAATTGGAAATGGCGAAGAAAAGTGGACAATAGAAAGGCATGCATACAATCCGCGCATTGAAAGGAACCGTAATCTGAGATCATTGGCATCATACTAGGTTCTTAATTATTATTATTCCTATTATTCTTATTCTTAATTGCAATTGAATACGATCGTTTCATTTCTTTTCATTGAACTTGTAATTAGTCTTTTGTCACTTGTAAAGGAACAGCTTGCAAAAATTCTTTCGAGAAAACGATT